TCAGCCATTCCCTATAGTGACTTTATTCAGGGTGATGGGTGCTTTAGGAAGGTAGTAGTGGGTAAAAGGGCCGACAGATAGAAACAGTGGCACATTCAGAGAACACAGGGTGGTAAGTGACAGTTAGGGTGGCTGTCTTATCAGCTGGGGGAGACTCTGTGTGACCCATATCCCAGAAGATTATTAGTCAGAGTAGATCTGCTCCAGAGATTATGTTCCTAACTTCGTTTTCTCAGGAAGGTGCTACAAGATCCCTTCACATATTGATTCAGAGTAACAGGACTATGTCTTTGAAACTTTGCATGTGAAAGTTGCCAGCTATTGTTGATCCATATGCACTTGTGTGGGTCTTTTAGTGAGACTAATACACAAAAAGAAACAGTTCTCTTCTTGTTCACAAATGTTTCCTAACCTGTTAAGTAAAATGATCCTGGGTGCATTTGCACTGTCAAATGAATACAGTTTGACATCACTATCATGACCTAATTCTATGAAATCATGGGAGTTGTAGTTTTACAAGGTCTTCAGCCTTCTCTGCCGAAGAATGCTGGGGACTTCCCAAACTGTAACTCCCAGGATTCCACAGCATTGTGCATTGCAGATAAAGTAGTATCAAACTGCATTCATTCAACAGTACAGTTGCACCCCCTGCTGGATTGGGCCAAAGTGTAACAGACCCAGTTTTCTATTTTCCCAGTAACCAAGGAGGATTGTATCTGGGAAACCGACAGACAGGACATGAGGGGTGTAATTCTCATGTTTCTCAAGCTAATGGCCAAAGCATAGTAACACTGGAGGCAGTACACAGCTATCCTCACTAGTAGCCTTGCTGCTTGCTTGGAAGTGATTGTTATATACTGTAAATTACCAGGAAGTTGCCCATTTTAAAATAATTAATCATTGATATTGTAGGCAAAGCAGCAGGGCACTGCAGTACAGCCATCAGCTAGGGTTATGTAAGAAGGTAGAAGTGACAAAGTAAAAAAACTGTTTAAGCCAAAACTTTCTTCTAAAAACTGATGACATAACAGATTGGGGAAATGCTAATCTGGCCTTCATGGAAGGTAGTGGATTCTCTGGACCAATTTGCCTAAAATTTGCCGTTTTCATGTGATGACCTAAAAGTAATGGTGGCAACGTGTCTACTTGTGTTGGCTTGCTTAAAGAGGGAATAATAACAAGTGCATTTTTAAAAACATCTTGGATTAGTCCCAGGATGTTCGTGCAAGTCAGGAGAGAAGTTCATTTTACTTATCAGAATCTAAATCAATAATTAAAAGGCCTTATATATGTTTATGGACCAGCGGATGATTTGTGAATCTCCATTGTTATTCTTGTTTACATGAAGGGTAAATTGCTCCAGTGATAATCCTTAAAACAGAGCAAAGCCAACCTAATATTAGGTTAATACTAGTAGCAGTGCAGCAGTATAAGATTTTTAAAAATGTAGATGTGTATATCCAGTGCTGGATTTAGAACAAATGAGGTCCTGTGTTAGTTAAGTTATGAGGTCCCTTACTTGGGCCCTGAAGTGTGCTTCGTGGCACACTTCCATACACTATCACTATATCTAGAATTGCTCTGAAACAGAACGCCTTCAAATTTAGAATTGAACTACATAAGCAAAATCCATCATAATTTTTTGGGGAGCAGGGATATTGGACCCCTGGCCAATAGGTCCCGTGCTTAAGCAAACCTAAGCACAATGATAAATCTGGCATAGTGTGTATAGCATACTACAGAGACTGTATTGGTTGTATTTCTGATTCTTTAGGTTGTTAGCTATCTTTTGAAGGGAAACATATGTATATTGAGATGTAGCAGGAGAACCGCCAAAAATATTTTTAGTGCACTCCATGCCAGTATGGGGAAGAGTAGGGGTGGGGGTGAGGAACTGATGAAAAACATATTTCACATCATTGTTCAGTCCTGCCATTATGCTGGCAGGAATGAAGACTGATAGGTTGCAGGTTCGAATCTGGAGAGAGCACGGATGAGCTCCTTCTGTGAGCTCTGGTTCCCCATGTGGGTACATGAGAGAAGCCTCTCACAAGGACAGTAAAACATCAAAACACCCGGGCGTCCCCTGGGCAATGTCCTTGTAGACAATTCTCTCACACCAGAAGCAACTTGCAATTTCTCAAGTTGTTCCTGACAAACACACACAAATAATTGTTCCTATCCTAAACATATTTTTCTGATGATGTTCTTATTCTACCTGCAGAAGTCATTAAATGTGATATCTAGAGTTAGTCTTATTTTAATTATCTGCCTATGGTTCCGTTATAACTTGTATGTGAAATGAGGCAAAGACATTTAAAAGGCACCTTGGGCATCTTTCCCAAATTCTCAGGGTAGTGTACTAAAAACCCCAACCTCATGTCTTCCAGATGAGTTGGGCTATGTTGTGGTCCAATACATTTGTAGAGCACCAGTGTGGGAAAGGATGGCTTACCATAATTGAATGGTTCGATTACCAAATCAGAAATTTAAGTATATACCCTTAAGTGCTCAATATCAGTTTAATTTTACTTTCCTTGCATAATCACAACAACCCAGTATTTATTTATCGTGTCATCAGCAACCATTGTATTACAATTCTAACAGAGCAAAACAAACACAGAGATTAAAAAGAAAAAGAAAAGAGAAAGAAAGAAAAAAAACACACAGATTTTGTAAATTTGGTATTTGGTTAAATGTCCTTTGACCAGTATCTGGCCACTTGGAGTGCCTCTGGGGTTGCCGCAAGAAGGTCCTCCATCGTGCATGTGGCAGGGCTCAGGGTGCATTGCAGCAGGTGGTCAGTGGTTTGTTCTTCTCCGCACTCGCATGCCGAGGATTCCACCCTGTAGCCCCATTTCTTAAGATTGGCTCTGCATCTTGTGGTGCCAGAGCGCAGTCTGTTCAGCGCCTTCCAAGTCGCCCAGTCTTCTGAGTGCCCAGGGGGGAGTCTCTCATCTGGTATCACCCATGGATTGAGGTGCTGGGTTTGGGCCTGCCACTTTTGGACTCTCGCTTGCTGGGGTGTTCCAGCGAGTGTCTCTGTAGATCTAAGAAAACTATGTCTTGATTTAAGTTGTTGACGTGCTGGCTGATACCCAAACAGGGGATGAGCTGGAGATGTCTCTGCCTTGGTCCTTTCACTATTGGCTGCTACTTTCCGGCGGATGTCAGGTGGTGCAATACTGGCTAAGCAGTGTAATTTCTCCAGTGGTGTAGGGCGCAGACACCCCGTGATAATGCGGCATGTCTCATTAAGAGCCACATCCACTGTTTTAGTGTGAGATGTGTTCCACACTGGGCATGCATACTCAGCAGCAGAGTAGCATAGCGCAAGGGCAGATGTCTTCACTGTGTCTGGTTGTGATCCCCAGGTTGTGCCAGTCAGCTTTCGTATGATGTTGTTTCTAGCGCCCACTTTTTGGGACATGAGAGAAGCCTCCTCGCAGGATTGCAAGACATCCGGGCGTCCCCTGGGCAACGTCTTCGTAGACGGCCGATTCTCTCAACCCAGAAGCAACCAGAGACGACTTGAAACAACCCAGTAATCTGGTGACACAATGAAGAAGGATAGTATTCTGGTAATATAAGTTGGCCTCCTGCAAAAACACCCACCAAAATTTAGTTTTAAACATTCATTCTTGGAAGACTTGACAGCTGCCACCAATGTCTTGCCTAGGATATTCATGTAGATTGCAGGGCTTTGTCCCATCTTTGGTCTTTCAATACCTTAGCTCTGAAAACAGAGTGGGAGGTTAAATGAAATTCTGAGCAGATCAGGGGGCAGTACCTTTTTTCTTTCTGGGGTCTTTTCCATAGACTTGGCTCTTTATGTGTGCTCTTTGTCACATAAAGATCAGGCTTGTTTAAAACAAAGGAGTGTTGACCTTCCAACCTTCTCCATGCCTGTGGCAGATTTCAGGGCTCTTTGTTTGCTTTTAAGCGGGAAGGTGACACTTCTCGCCTCTCTGTGGATTTGCGTTTATCTTCATTCATGTTATTGCCACATAAAAGAGGGCTGCTCCCCTTCTCCAAATTGCTCTGCCGTTATCTGCTAGTCTCCAACTCTATAAGATATTTTTAAAGTAATAAAAATAGTTTATGGGGTTTTGGGATGTACTTTCATTCTTATTTGGAGATGCTTGGACCTGGGAGTTTTACAAAGGCACTCATAGTTCTTTTATAAGTGCTTAATGTTACATGTTTGCTCTTGATCATTCAAATCTATTTCCTAAATAACTCTGTTTTTAAAGAAATACATTTGCCTCACTCAGTGTACAACAGATTCCATTGAACTATACCTTATTTCAATCTTCTTTTCATAAGACTGGTAGCCAAAATCTTGGTTTTATCTTTACTGTTGTTTGCTGTTTTTGCCATCTGTCAAACTTACATAAAGGGATGGCCCAAGACATACTGCTGCTTAACAAAGGCAATTGACAACGATGCTCCACTAATAGTTCCACATATAGAAGCTAAGTGCATGAACAGTTGACACCTTGCAGAATCTTTTACCACATTTGATGGTATCAAAGGTGAAGTGTCCACAGTCTTGTCCTGCAAATAAAAGAAAAGGCAACAGGTTTCAGAAAGAATACCAAAGACATTTACAATCTGAGATAGTTCCCTGTTTTTTTTTAGCCACTGAGTGGAAAATGCTGGTTGGTGGTGTCTAAGGCTGGGTCTACACTGCCATATAATGCCATTTCAGAATGTGGATTAACTGCACTGAAAAGAATTATATGTCAATTAATCCACATTCTGAAACTGCTTTATATGGCAGTGTACATCAAGCCTAAGGCTTCTTCTGCCATTCCAAAATTTTTGGAAGGCAAGTTTAAGACCATTCAACACTGATATCCCATTTTTTATCCCTAAAATTGATTCTCTTGGCTTGTTGTCTTGAGTCAGCCATATCCAAAGGTTGTTGTTACTCCCTTTGTGTTTTATCAGTATATATAGTTCTGTTTGTCTTCACTACTGTGTTTCCTTTCCTTCAGCAAAGTGAGCTGAACTCCTTCCTGTGGACTATAAAGAGAGACCCACCGTCTTATTTTTTTGGTACCATTCATGTACCGTATACTCGAGTCTGGGATCATATTCCTGAGAATTCAAAGAAAGCTTTCCAGCAGAGCCATATTGTCTACTTTGAGCTGGACCTTACAGATCCCTACACAATCTCTGCTCTGACGAGTTGCCAGCTCCTGCCGCAAGGTGAGAACCTTCAGGATGTACTTCCAAGGGACATCTACCGCCGACTCAAGCGCCACTTGGAATATGTCAAGCTCATGATGCCTTCCTGGATGACCCCGGACCAGCGAGGCAAAGGACTGTATGCAGACTATCTCTTCAATGCTATTGCAGGCAACTGGGAAAGGAAAAGACCTGTGTGGGTCATGCTTATGGTTAATTCTCTGACTGAAGTTGACATCAAATCACGCGGTGTGCCTGTCTTGGATCTCTACCTTGCCCAAGAAGCTGAACGACTGCGTAAGCAGACCGGGGCTGTAGAAAAAGTAGAGGAGCAATGCCACCCACTGAATGGCCTAAATTTCTCTCAGGTAAGAGAACTGAAGCTTTCTTGGTGTGCTGTATATGAAAAATGCAATCTGTGCTGTCCTAATTATCTTTTGATAATCCATAAGCTTATTTCATTTGAAGGGACAGGTACACCGGTAGAACAAAAAGTTTGGCTCAGCTTATATTGATACAGACCTTGAAAAAAACCTACCTCTTGGACTCAAGAGTGACAGAATTCTCCAGCCAACATAGCAAACAGATTTTAGCAGTTTTGGTCAAAAAATAATATACCTGTCAGATTTTGTGAGAGAATTCTGTGGAGTAGTTTGTGAAAATGACTAATATTATAAAAGAGGCAAATTCTGTTCAGTAGTCCAGTCCATGGGGCTCCCTGGTGGCAGAGCAGGTTAAATCACTGAGCTGCTGAACTTGCTTACTGAAAGGCTGTCAGTTTGAATCCAGCAAATGGGGTGAGCTCCCGCTGTTAGCCCCAGCTTCTGCCAACCTAGCAGTTTGAAAATATGCAAATATAAGTAGATCAATAGGTACCGCTTCTGCGGGAAGGTAATGGTGCTCCACGAAGTCATGCCAGCCACATGACCTGGGAGGCGTCTAAGGACAACTTTGGCTCTTTGGCTTAGAAATGGAGATGAGCACCACCCCCCAGAGTCGGACACAACTAGATTTAATGTCTGGGGGAAACCTTTACTTTAGTGCAGTCCATAGGAATTTATATCTATAAAGTCCCTCAGTAGAGGAAATCTCTAGTTATAGAATATTGTGAATTGATGAATCTGTTCTGAATTTCACTATTGTTTTTGTAACTACACACAAATATTCACCACTTTTAAAACCTTTGGAAAATTGGCTGCCTTGATTTCTCTCATCACAACTCTTCCAAACATTTGTATCCTCTATTGGTAACTTTGTGATGGATAATTATTGTGTTTTCCCACTTTTTGGGACTTCTATTTTTTCTACAGATTTAGTTTCTTTTGAGACTTTTGCATAAAAGAACCCTGGCTTCCATTTGCAGTTCAACTAAATGGTTCATATGGATTCATAGGTTCTTTTGTGGACATTTGCTTCTTGTGTTGGTTGTGATGTTAGATCTGAGTGTGAAATAGAAGGCACCTGTAAGGATTTGAATGGAAGGTATCAATAGAAACAGCAGCAAAATTAGGAGTGTGGTGATAGGATGTGACATATCCAAAACTAACCTTACAGCTGAAATTGCACGCAGATTCCCAAAACAAATAGAAATATGTTATCTCCAGGAACTATACCAAGTTGGGACTGAAGGAAAAAAGGTAGAGGAAAATGTACCAGCATTCACAAAGGGAAGCAATAGTATGGCACACATCAGTCAAAACATCCCTGTGTGGAAGAGGCCTATGGCTAAGCCCAGCGTATTTTGCATGACTTGGCAGATACATTGTTTCTTAATAGTTGGTAGCTGCAAATTGATATTTAAATTCCCAACTTAAAAAGGCTATTTAATAAGTTAATTTGATAGTAACACACCGTGCGTTTAGTAGAAAAGAACCTATCATAGGAAACATGATGGAGTGCACATATTTACTATAGATGTGCCTCCTATTTCTTTGTATTCTCATTTCCTAACATAGGGAGGTATACTGGTGTTCACACCATCCATGTAACACAGCTAAAAAAGTGCACCAGTAGGACACTTGTACTTTAACAAAGTTTTTAAATAGTAAATTAATCATGTTCATAGGTTAAACAGTGTTATGTTGAAAATATTCAATATAGTCCAAAATATATTATTATTATTATTATTATTATTATTATTATTATTCTCATCAACAGCAGCATCTTGTTATGTGACCAGCGGTTCTCAAACCTTTTCAGCCGTGGAGCCCATTTTGAAGCAAAAGTTTCTCGTGGAGCCCCAAGAAATGTTTATATATTATATTATATATATGATGTATATACAGTAATTCTTTTGACATACAAGTTTAGTTTGTTCTGTGACCAAGTTCTTAACTCAAAATGCTAGTATGTCAAAGCAGATCTCCCCATTGACATTAATCAGTTCCAGCCCACCAAAACCACACCAGTTTTTTTATTAAGATAAGGGAGCTTTCTGAGGGAGGAAAAGAAGGCCTCCTCCTTCACCGCTTCGTTACTTCCAAAATTCTCTTCAGAGCAACCCACAACCAATTCATCAAAGCCCTCATATCTACCCACCAAACCAAACAAAGCATGGTCTGTGGATGGAGGTGAAACACAGCCCACATTTGCCCACCCATTTTCCTACTTCCTCTTTCTCTCCCTTTTCCATCCTTTCCTCCTCTTCTCTCTCTCTTGCTCCCCCCGCCCTTTTTCAATCCTCCATTTTTTCATATACCATTCATCAGCGGAAGAAGAAAAGGGGGCAGCAGTTGCAGAGGTTTCTGCTGCTGTTGTTCATGCTGTGGAGGTGGCTGCTGGTCAAGAGGCAGTGGCAGAGGCTGCTGCACCAGGTACAGCCTGGACACTCACTAGGATCTCCTGTTGGCAAATTCATTTGCTGGAGGAGGGGAAAGAGGGGAGCACTCCTTCTGAAATTAGGACTATCCTTAACCAGCACAAGGGAGCTTGCTGAGGAGAAAAGTAAGGCCTCCTCCTTTGCTTCCTTCCTTCTCAGTAGCAATTGATTAAGAGGATGCTCATGCTGCCTCTGCAGCAATAACCAGCTGCCTCCCATTGCTCACACTGCCTTGGTCCTAGGGTGGGGTCTTCCAGAAGGAGCTGTGCAGAGCTTCGCGCTCTAAAGCGCTCCCTATGGACCTATTGGGAGCCCATGTGAACTTAGGAGCTATTCCACAGTAGGTACCACGAGGCCCTTCGCAAGGCCAGCTCTGTATTGCCCACCACGGCCCACATTCTCAGCATGCTGCTGGAGTCTCGGGTCAACCCACCCCAGGGCCCACCCACTGCCCTTGACTACAAGCACCACCGTGGTGGACAACAGGAAGCTGGCCTCAAAGGCGCAGGATGCAAAAGTGTTGTTTAAGGGGAGGGGAGGCAGTGGCATTGTTTCCTCAGGCCCAACATAACAATGGAGAAAAGGAAGGGGTGGTCAAAGGTCTTTCAAGAGGATGGGTGGAAAAAGGAAAACGGAAGAGAGGAAGAGGGATGCTTCTATGAGGGGAAATAACAGTGAAGGAGGGAGAAGGAAAGGGGCTGCTGCTAGGTCCAGACAGTGGCCATGGAGGGACAATCCTTTGGTAGGCAGGGTCGGGGCACTCACAACGGTCGGGCTGAATTATAGCCGGTGAGGAGGGGGAAGGAGGGAAGCACAGAGCCCTGCAGAATGCTTCACAGAGCCCCAAGTGCTCCACGGAGCATACTTTGAGAATCACCAGTGTTCAGTAAGCGCTTCTGGTCTTGCACCTTAAAGAGATATAGCAGACAAGTCACAAAACAAGATATATGCCCCTTTGCCGGAGAACTAGGAAATAGTAGCGTGGGAGGTAGGGAAATGCAATTTGCAAGTTGTTTAACAGTTGCTACATTGAATGCTGGCGAACCTTAATTTATCTTTGAGTCCTCCTAGGGGTGAGAAAAGTGGTATATAAGTATATTAATTAATTAATTAATTAATATTTTCCCTATTCTTCAATCAATACATAACTTAGTAGAGGACCCTTCTTTCCAGGGCACCCCATGGATACCAAAATTCATGGATGCTCAAATCTCACAGTGTAGAACAATATGATAAAATGGTATCCCTTATATAACATTTGGGAAAAAACTGGGATTTTCAAGCTGTGCATATGGAGGGACAACTGTATTTCTCAACTATGTACCCCACTAGCTCAGTCTCCTTTCCTCTGTCAGTTTAAACCCCTTACCTGACAATCCACCTTCGTGCCTTACACCTTTTTCTGTTGAGTTTGTAGCATATTTTTGTGTGGGAGGGGCGTTATTATAGTTGCAGTTTTTTCACTTTTGCGGCAGTCTTGGGCGCCTAACCCCTATGAATGTGAGAGGCTGACTATATATTTAGCCTCCTCTGTATTTGTTTTGATTTCTCTTTTATGGCCTAAATCCTACTGCTAGTCTTACCATTCAGCAACTGGCTCAGATGTGTCCACTCTAGTTAAAATCCACTACTAGGATCGAGGTCATTATTAACATCCCACTGATTCAGTATGTGAGAAATCACTATCTCTTTATTGCTTATCAATCAAACCCATGAGGCTTGATGTTACTAAATTTTGCTCCATTATGCCCATTAGAATTGTTATCTAAAGTTCTCCTGCTTCTACATTGAGAATCTTCTAAAAGTCAAAGAAGGTTAATGGGTGAATTTGTTATATAACATTAGTGAGCAGCTACTAACAACATGCTTCAGTTGCAAGATTAAACAACAGCATGAGATTTAAAGGTCAGAAACACATATTCAATGCAGATATGGTTTATGGCCTGTGGTAAAAGGTTTAAAACATTTGCTTTTTATTTTCATGCTGGTGAGCCATTCTCAGGGGAGATGGTTTCATAGGCAGCTTCACTGGTAGCAATATAGTTGAAAAATCCCAGTCTGTTTGTATTAACCATGTTAGAATGTGTGAAGTTAGCAGTCAAGAGGAATAGGAGGTACTTGTACATAGAAATTCTTCCCCAACAGGTATTTTTAACACCAATTCTTCCTATTTTGCTCTTAATCAGCTCTGTGTATGTAACAGTTCTGTGTAGATGTGTAATATTTTTATGTCTTAGCTGTCATTTCAAAACAAATATTTCTAGCCCTGCAGTCATCTTGCAATAACAACAAGAAATATAGAAGCAGAATGAGTAATATTTCCATTGGTTAGGGAATATACTTCACGTCCTTTCTGCATATCTCATTGTTTTGCTCCATTATAACAGAATTAGAATAAAATACGTGAACTACCATAAGGGAAAAATGCAGAATGTATTGCAGTAATTTATCCAGTTGAATAGTTCCTCTTCTCTTGCAGAACACGGTCTATCTTGAAGAGCAGAAATAGACCTTTTAATAATTCAGGTTTGATAATGATCCTGTGTTGAG